CCCGTTTCTTGGGATCTCCAGTCTATCGGGTCGGGTTACCATCACTTGTAATCCGTGGTTCGGTAGGCATAAGTCTCATACCGTTGGCGGTATTTTGGACTTTCTCTCTAGATAATCCTTTCGTCAAAGGATCAGCTAGATTCTGTTAGGACCTTACAGGATCCACCCTCGTTGCTCCTATCATTAGGAGTTCTCTTACAGTACTGTGCTTACGACGAATTTGTCGTCTCTTTTCGTTCTAGAACCGGTTCCCTTCTTTAGTAATAGCTGCGGTGCTATCACAATGAATCAACTACCGGAGGGATCGGTCTTTCCCATGAGGGATTCTCTAGTAATGATCCTCTCAATCAACTTTCCTCTTTACTAGCCATTGCTAGTTCTATCATTTCCGATTTCTTAGTTGATTGAGCCAGGATCGTTTACTTCTTAGACTTCCAAGACATAGCTTCTCTATCTATGTTTAAAACACATCCTCTTGTTGTCTTGGAGTCCTCTATAGGGTATTCTAAATCCGCATCACTATACCCTACCAATACAGCAAAACCTTTGAGAACAAATACCATGGTTTTTTTCTGTTCTTTTAAGGTGTCTCGTGACCCCTTTCAATAGCATTTCAATGCTTCATACTAGGACAATCAGTAAGCCTGCCAAGTACCCCCACTATGTCGGGTCTCATGTTTATCAGCTGCCTCTTGCAGACTGTCGATGCTAGTATGTTCTTACTTTCTTACACCGTCTTTGGTGCTCTTAAAAAATTTATACGAGCATCATCAAACATGTATGTAGGTGTACATCTTGTATTTTCCTAGTTATTAGGATCTCTAAACATGACATTTGTTTCATTCAGATCCTTCACATTCAAAATTCTCATCCATCATGGTTTTTCAATATTGACATCACGAGTCTTTGTACCAAAGATCGAAGTGTCATTCATAAAGCAAGTGTCATTCTCAAATTTGTACTAAATGCACTTGTCATTTTCACTTTTAAAACCATGAGAGAGAACCAGTTTATTCATGCCATCGTGTTAGAGTCTATTTCAAATCTTACAATGATTTGTCTAACTATAGACTCCCTAAGCATGTTCAGCAATAACAACCCTATAGGTTGTCCCATGTAGATTTTCCTATCTAAATCACCATTCACAGAAACATGTTTAACAATCCATCTGACGCACAACACTAGCAATCAGAACATACACGGATGTTATTCTACATATGGTGAATAGATAACAAGAAAATTTACAATTTTTCCTTTTCGCTTAAAGCCTTAGCTATTAGGCGATCCTTATACTCATAAACTAAACCGATAGGTTCACTTTTCTTTTAAGAATCCATTTATTACCCATGACTTCATTGCCAAGAGGTAATTCTCAAAGATGCCAAATCTTGTTCGATTCTATCGATATATTACCCAAGGCTTTTCAACCAAGAGGTAACTCTACAAGATTTTAAGTCTTATTAGACTCCAATAATTCCATTTCGTTAATAATGGATTCTGACACAATTCTGCATCTTTATGGAAGTTCGAACTTCTAGCAGACTTGTAGGATCTTTCTTTCTTAGGGTGTAAATAACAAATTCATAACCAAAATCCTTTCGTGATTTATGGTTCATTTGTTTCTTCTGAGTTTAAACTCAGATTTATTATCCCCACTAGTTCCATTATTTCTAATAGTAGGCAGGACACTACCCCCACTATTTCTTGATTTAAAATGGAAGTTTTTTGGCATTAACGGATTTCACAACAACATGAGTATTTCGTTTCATAGGAACTATGTGTTTTTATTGTTAGCAACATAAAACACACTCATATGCTCTTCTAGTTATCATGCTACACTGATTTTCTAACGCTACCACATGCATGCCACATATCGAATAATCAGTGCAATCATAATGCAATTAGGCATTTCAAACCATTTCAAATAACTAGTCAGACAATCAGAGCACTCTAAAGACCAATAAATTGTTTATTGTCTTTTCCATCAAGTTTACCCACATAAATCAGATCTATTTATTCTGATTCTCTAACCACATAATTATGGGTCATTTAGCTTGGATATGCAAAATTCATATTTTTCTCAAGCATCCAATAATAAAATGGGAATTCGATATAAGATATTCTAATTCTCACACAGACACACTTGAAAGAATTTATCTTATCTACTTAAGCATTCCTTACGTCTAGGATAGTCAATGACTTTCTAGAGGCAGGGTTCTCTTCCACCTTTCCAGAACCATTAACATTAGTGGTGAGGGTCTTGCCCAACAACACTTTCTCCTTCAATATGAGTCAATGTATGATTGAGCTTAGCTCGTTTATCATACACATATCTTGAAGCGGTCCTATCCAACAACCAACCTTCAGAGAGGCTAACCTCTGTCATCACCTCAGTGAATATTATTACCAAATCCTCTTCTTTAGTCAAGTTAACACTAGGTTAAACTTGTTCTTACACTTTCATGTCTTATGACCTAGTTTCTCACAAACATAACGTCATTCTTAGAGGATTGGGTGACAATCTTATGGTTACCACAAAGGGTACCATTCTATTTGGTATGGATCTGGTTCGGCTTGCTGCTCTCATTCTTGAAACTTTTATGTTTCAGAGCAGCCTCAGTGGTTCATCTAATACTGACAACAGTACTTCTTACAATATCGTCACTATGGGCAATTAACCCATTCTATTCCCATGTATTCTTCAATGCACACATTTAGACAAATCATACTTTTCATAGCATGTATTCAAAATTGTACTCTAATTATTGAGAAAAGCACATCTCAATATCAATACATTCATGCGTCAATTCTAGTTTGCTTATTAGCATTCACAAAAGATTTTAATTTTGTCATTCAGTAATGACTCACCAAGAAGGTTTGAATTCTAACCTTTTTTTTTTTTCTCCCCCGGAGAATTCCCTTCCTTGTGACTTTGGAATGAATAGCACCATGCATAGCCTCTTTCTCGGCGCCACCAACCAATCACGTCGTTAGAATGGCGACTGAATTTAAAATTCTGCAAAAATAAAGATCACAGCTGCCTGGAACTAGTCCGGGGTCTCTTTCAACCTTCGTCCAAGGCTCCGCTATGAAGCCGACTTCAACTCCAAGAGGAACCACGTAACCATCGCTGGCAGGCTTCTCCAGGTTGCCAGAGTTGATTAGTCCTCCTCGTTCTTGATAATATCATATACTTGGTAGGCTTCCTTGTAAGCTACTGGTAGCTTTTAACTTCCTTCCACTTAAACGTTGTTAAAATATATTATATTAAGATAATTAATCCTAATTATCTCCATAATATTCTTTTTATTTGTTATCCTTCCTATTTTCGTATCTAGAAAGAATACGGGATAATTAATTCAATATAGCTTTCAAAGCTATTCATTCCCAACACATACATACATGCAACCATTAATAACTTACAGGCAAGAGAATGGTAATCCCGAACATGTGCCTCCTATATATATAAGAGGGCTGAAGAATCGGTGGAGCACTTATTTTATCGTTGTGATTTTACTGACCAGATTTGGATTTATTTTCGCTGTATGCTAAAGTTAATTAGACTAGAACCATATGGGATTATGGCCAAGTTCCGCTCTTGGACATGATTGATGTAACTCAAGATTTTCGAGCATTCAATAGACCGTTGATACATAGAATTATATGGTGTGTTTGGTTGGAAAGGAAACGAAATATATTAGAAGAGGTTGAGAGAAGCCAACAAATGGTTGCTCGAGAAGCGGGACTGTTGACCGTGGAGTGGTTGAGAGTGCATGACAAGGTGACGAAAGCAGAGAGTCTTTACTGGCTCCGTTCGATATATTCAACAACAACAACAACAACTTGAGAAATTGGTATACAACAACACTACAGGGAGGGAGGAGCTGCTCCACTCCTTGCGATGGATGATTTGGTTTCTTTTATGTGATGCCACCATAAGTACTTGTACATTCCCATTCTCATCTTTTTTTGTAGTGACTCTATTTAGTAACACTTTTTCCTACTCCTTAAACACAAGTGGCATGACTAAACTCAAAGGTAACTGAGAAATGGACAAATGGTATTTAGTGAGTAGTGGTGCATACAATATATATATAGTACAAACAAATATACAACCCAATATACTCAAATTTAAAAAAACGGAATAAACAAAAGATGGACAAGAAATCTCAAGACAAAAAAACATATCATCAACTCCGAAAACACACAAACATATTCACTCAGTTACTAGGACCTGTCGGGGTAAGGCCAGGCAAACTAGTGAAAATCGGGATTTTACCTAAAATCGAAAACTGGGGTAAAATCGAATCGTACAATCGTCAGATTTTAAGTACCATATAGAACATTAACTATAATAATATTAATAAGGTAAATCATTAATAACCAAAGAGACATAACATTTAAAATGATAATTCTAAAAAAAATACAAAAAAGATAATTCTCAAGATTAATGTTCCAAAATCACTATTTTAATTGTTATTTAATGCATAACTCAAAATAATTCATGAGGAAGGGATAAAGCTTAATGAGTTTATCTCTTGTTTTAATGCTGTTTCTAGGTAGTTTAACTCAACATAATATTCCGACATCATCTAAGTAAAATTAAAAACTAAAAATTTTTGAACTCCAATAAAATAAGTAATGCTAGTGGCTTGGTACAAATAAATTAATTAGTTAATATTGATGTTAATTCTTACGTACTTCCAATATTAGGACAATTGTTTTACCAATAAGTTAAATGGGGAGGAGGGAAAGGGATCGACCAAGGCCTAATTTGGTTATTTTTATTATTTTTAATATTTTTTTAGTAGAAAATATCTGAGAAGATTTCCGTCATTGCCCTTTCCGCCGAAACAGTTATGCTTCTTTTAAATTGGCTCAAACCACCTATTTTTTCTCATACTATCAAAATTACGATTTTGGTACAATTTTACGATTTTAAGGTCCACCGATTTAATAGTAAAATCAGGATCGGAATCTCTAAATAAAATCCTAAAATCCTACGATTTTATGATCAAAAACCCAATTTTAACTACATTGAGGGCGGGGATGTTTGGAATGGTTGGAAAGCCGGTGGGAAATGGTGGTAGAGACTTTGGGATGGAAGGAATTGTGGGCATCGTTGGAGTGGCGCCGGTGCTATGGAGCTCAGTAACTCTTGTTAAAAAATAATCGCAGAAATCCAAAAATTTATCTCTCCAGCCATGAGGTAGATCAGCTGCTACTCCTCCGATACGAAAAAAATTATGCATCATTCTCATACCAGTGGCAGCTTCGAATAAATCATATACTAACTCTCTTTCTCTAAAAATATAGAAAAAGGGAGTCTGTGCACCAATATCCGCCATAAAAGAGCCAAGCCATAGCAGATGAGACAGTCCTCCGCCGGATGGCAGAGATGGGATGGTGGGCAAGGCGCCAGCGGTGTTAGGGAGTGGCGACAATCCTCCTCCGGTTGGCAGAGATGGGATGGAGGGCATCAGAGGCACTTCTGTGGGTTGTGGTAGTTGGAGGAGCTGTCGAGCCGCCATTCCGTTTTCCACGCTACAGAATGAGACGGCGAGGAAGAGAGCAACAAAAAAGAAGTTGGAAGAAGAAGCCATGTTTCGTGGTGGAATGTAGCTATAGATGGAGATTTCTAGTTGTTTTGTTTGGGTTTGAGTGATGGAGGAAAAGGTTTTAGAGGTGGGGGTTTATATAAGCCAGTGAAATTATTAGTATGGTCCAGAAAAAGTAGTTCACTGATCTTTTTACCCATAGAATTGTTGCATGTTCAGGTGAGGTTGGTTAGGAAAAACAATACACGTCCAAGTTTAGGTAATCTAATATGTCACTATATGTTGGGGGAATTTCATTAAATTATAGCTAATTTTGATGTCTCGTACCATTAACCATTTCTAAATTTATTTTCGGATGAATGTACTCATACATCATCATGTGGTTTGAAGTTTGAACTCTTTTTCCTCAGGCGGATATGGTGAATACTATATAGTAGTTGTCGTCGTGATAACTAAGGGCAAATTGGGTATGTAAAAACTCTCGTGATTGAATAGATCAACAAGATATATAATGAGGATTCAACCATATTTTTTTCATTTCAAATTTCCGGGATTGAAATTAGGAAGGGGACTTTCGTCATTATAGCATTAATTTCTTATTTATAAAAATAAATGTACTAATGTTGAGAATTGAACCAAGGTCTCTTCGAACAAAGACAAGTATAATAACCAATTACACTAAACAAATTTATTGTATCTTTCTAAATTAAAAACATACCAAAAGCAAAATCTAAATATCATAGGACTTTTCCACAATGGATAGTTAGCCCACTAAGTTCTATAATTTTTTTGGAAAAATGATATTTTTCCGCTTTAGAGCGAGATCGTGGACCTAAACCCATGAATCGGATGACCTAGCTTGGTAAACAGGGACATGAACTTCCATGACACCTTGTTGTCTCCTTAGAAAGGCAAAGAAATTGCCTCCTTGCCTACTTCGCAAAGCCTTTCAACAATGCAGCCACCTAACTGCCATATGTTTAACAAGACAAGGCATGATAAGGTGTAATCGATCGGGATGGGATTAAGTGCTAACGTTCTAAGAGGCTAGCTTTGTGCTAACCATATTCGCAACCATTGTATGAAAATATAATCTAACGGTTAAATTATTAAAAGGTTAATTTGGTAAAAAATATATCATCAACCCAAACCCTAATATATATTTCTCCCACCCCTCGTCATAGCGGCACCCACCTTGTTTAAAACTGCTGCCCAACCTCCCTTTCCCATCACACTCTCTCTAAAAAAACCACCATCACTCCATTCTCTTTCAACAACGAGGAGGCTTCTTTCGACGGTGGCGACAACAAAAGGGACTTGCGAAGAAAGGTAGGCGGTCGTACTTCTGACGGGTGGCAGGTTAGATCTATTCACTTCAACGCCATCCTCAATAGGTAGGTTGCGACGAGACTGTGTCTGGTTTCCGTTCGCGCTTCTGACATCCGCGAGAAGCAGGTGACGAGTCATATCTATTCCCTCGGCCATCTCTCTGTCAACGTTCTTCGACCATTTTACTAGATCTGGGAGCAAAATGGAACTCCAAGTCGGTAATGGAACAGAGAAGCCAATTGAAAGATCGTCTGAATGGCTACGGAAGTTATTTGCGTAGTAGCGTTTCATGAAATTGACCACTGGATTATTGACATCTTTTCATGATGTTCAGTTTTCCATAGATCTGTTAATGCGTATTGATTGAGTAGTAGCGTTTGTATTAGGGTTAATTGTAAGGTTGGTCACTAAGATTACTAAAAACGTTCATGTTTAGTCACTAAAAATATTTAATTCCATTCGTGGTCACTAAAATTAGTAAAACATTTCAAGTTCGGTCACTCTCCGTCCAACTCCGTTAACTTTGGCTGATGTGGTAGTCAACCTCTCCGACTGCCGTCCCGGTGAGAAGTTCGACGACCTCTCCAAGCTCAAGACATACTTCCACAGTTCCACGAAAATCTTTAGTTTATTTGAGTGTGTTAATTATTGTTGTCCTGTGTTTACAATAGGCTGGAAGGAATCATTCTCGGTGATTATTGGTGGTGATGAATAGCAGGGAAGTAATCTCCTGATATGTATGCCCTAGGTGTCACAATAGCTTTTTACTTATGTGGAATATGTCATCGGCATTAATCTAACCAATTGAATTCAAACTCTAGATTTTTGGAAGCAGCTAACCCACCAAACATTGAACCTTCGAACTGCCGGCGGGATCTGACATATGCATTCCTCCTGAACAATCGGCTGTCGCAGGAGATGAGGAGCGTATTCGCCACTACGTTCGACTAGACGACCACTGGTCGGAGGTCGCGACGTTGATCTTCACGGAGATGGATAACTATCTGACCGCAGATATCTGGATCGGGTTCTTCAGCGGCGACTACGACACGAGAGGGTTTTCATCCGCGACGGCGGCGGGTGTAGTCGGGGAGCAGAAAGCGGGTTGGCGGAGGTAGTAGAAGAATTAGGTTTTTCATTTTTATTTTTTTAGTGATGATGATAATTAGGTGGAATATTTAAAATATAAAAATTTATATATTTATTATTTTTTGAGTGACATGTCACACATTTAACGGTCAACTTTGAGAGTTGACTGCCACATCAGCCAAAGTTAACGGAGTTGGATGGAGAGTGACCGAACTTGAAATGTTTTACTAATTTTAGTGACCACGAATGGAATTAAATATTTTTAGTGGCTAAACATGAAGGTTTTTAATAATCGCAGTGACCAACTTTGCAATTAACCCGTTTGTATTAGTAGTGTTTTTGTTAATTGTTATAATGAGTATCGATATTCGTTAATATTACTAGTATGTTGTGTAGTTATTGTTTATTTGCCGTATTTTTCCTAAAAATCGTCAATCTCTACTGATTTAAAATCACTACTAATGATAATAAAATTGCTATTAATGATAATAAAATCACTACTGAGAATCATGAAATCACTACTAATAATGATAAAATTGCTACTTATGATAATAAAATCACTACCGAGAGTCATAAAATCACAACTATAAATCACTAGAATCACTACTAATTTATGTAACCCATAGAAAAGGTTGTATATAATTTACAAGAGAGGGATTTTAAATATTAATTAATTAATTTCAAAATATCAAACTTGCCCTTCACTATTTTGCACTGTTAGAAATAATGAATGGTGATTGGAGTAGTTAGCATGGTACTAACTCTTACAGGGTTAGCACCATAGTCGTTCCCCATGATAAGGTGCCACCAATGTCCACTTACCACACTCTCTTTGTCACGACAAGCTTCATTGGCATTGCCACCCATTTTCTCTCCCCTTGCCTAGCATGAGTTTCAATCCATAAACAGTGGCGGATCCAGGATATAAATAATAGAGCATTGGGCCACATTTGAATAAAATATAAGATATCATAAACAAAAATATATATAATAATTATAGTTTTCATTACAATGCTAATTGTACAAGAATATGTTTTAATTTAGCAAATCCATCAATAATAAAATCTTCATTCATACCAATAGTATACTATCTCTCAAAGAAAATAGTTAAGCAATCAACGAGAATTTCATCTCTCCTTTTGTTGCACAAATCATTTTTCACATATTTCATTCCTGAAAATGTTCTTTCCTTAGTAGCTGTTGAAACGCGCAAGGTCAACACTAGGCGAATCAACTGACAAATCAATTCGTATTGTGTCTATCCCAATTTCCGCCAACTTCTCTAGTTATTTTTCAGGGGGAAGAAGTTTCATATTTCTGACTATGAAGCACATAAGCAGCATAATATTGCAGCTCATTCTTCAAAGAATGCATCTCATAGCCTTCAAAATATCCAGGCTAAACTTTTGAGCAAGTTTGTAAAGACTGGAAATAATTGTTAGCATCTAGTGCACTACTCAATTGAAGCAATCTAAATAATGACTCCACAAGTTTGTAAATATTTTCTTAATCAAAAGACTAGAAAGAAACAACGGACTGGTGGAGGAATCTGTTTTGGATCCGTTCATCTCCTCGTTCTTGTTTTGTTTTTGAGTGATTGGGGGAAATTTTTTAGTTTTGACAAGGAATATTGAGCTTTAGCTTAGAGGTTTTTTTTATTTCAATGAAACTATACTTTTAGTCTGTTATGTTTTAGAATTTTAGATTTGGATATGTTCATCTAGATCAATTTCTTAGTTACACAAAATCATATTATCAAATAACACTGAATTAAATGTTGAATAATATTGGGCGAATACCTAAAATAGAAAATTTATAAGTACTATACTAGCTCTGGACCTAGAGGAGGGCTGGCCCCGGGTGGCCCACCCCTGGATCCGCCGCAGTCCATAAAGAGGTAAGCATCCTTGTAACAAAGAAGTTGTTTGTGATTTGGAAACCTAGGGCTTGTGATTCTCATTGTATCCTACTCCTCTTATGGGCAGATCAAACCGAAAGAAGACAAGCTCCATCAACATGTTTGTTTGGTAGCTTGGAGAGGAAATATGACAGTCTTGGAGCAAAAGAAAGTACAACAAAAAGATGGAAAACGACATCGTTCCTATTAATTCTTCAGTCTCCAAAATGACATCAGAATTGCAATTTTTACTGAGTTTGGGCGTGTTGAGTGTGAATTGGGTCAACATTCATATGTACAAGAATCGTGAAAAGAAGTTATATAAACCCAGAAGCGAACAAATGGTACGTCTAATGCATACAATAACAATAGAAGTTATATACAAGAATCGTGAAAAGAAGTTATACAAAACTTTCCTCTGCGGTTCACGATTAGCGTGCCCAAGGCAATCGTTCCAACCCACGTAGCATACTAGCGGTTTAGGGGAAAGTAAAACCCAAGTGACTTTCCCACAAAAAGAGTTTTCAAATCAAATTACTTTTGCTTTCTTTCAGTTCAATTAGCAAACCTTTAAACCAAAGTTTTATCCCTAGATAATGATTTCAATAACCAAAGTAGGGGTAGACGGACCGGCCCGGGTCGATGTATAGATACGTGCCCTATACTACACCTGATTAGATCCTTTTCGCCACACCTTCGACTCCGAGGCTGGTTCTACCTGTTAAATCCT